ACTCATTTCTTGCAAAATGTTCCAAAACAGCCACCAATGACTCCACATGTTTCCTCTTATGTTCGGTTGTCAAAAGTTTGGGGATCCACTTTGCTGCCAGCTTTCTCATTTCCAGATCATTGTGGATAATGGCACCAACTCTCTCATTTGATATTCTCAGATATATAGAAATACTTTTGGCTGATATTTGGCGGTCCTCCATGATCATGTCATGGATGGCATTCACAATTGCAGGCCCAGAGACAGAAACAGGCCTTCCACTGGGTTTCTCATTTTCAACACCAAAATGGCCAGCTTAAAAATTGACAACCCAACATTTAACTGTTGCATATAAAGGGCCACTGTCACCCATCATGACATTTCATCATGGATCTGCTTTGCACCTTTCCCTTGGAGAAACAGGAACTTGATTATGGTCCTATGCTCTTCCACATTGAACGTTTCTGGAGGTGCTGCCATGTTCACTTTGGACCTGAACATGAAAGATAAGGTTAAATCATAGGTAGTTGATTTTTGCACCATTGGATATAGGCAAATTGGCCAATACACCCTGCAATTTATAGCTTCCTAGCTCAATTTTTTTCTGGGAAAGGCTCAATATTTATCAGCACCCCCTCGTAAGCCTTCATGGTCTTAATCCCCTTCTTCGGATACATAGAGTAAGGCTTTTGTATAAAGTGACAATTTTATAACCAAGATAAATTATATTATTAAGTAAAATAATATAGAATGTAAAATAATATAAAATACATAGGACTTTAGCGCATAGTTATTTATTGGTATCTTGTGTATTGTTGTTCTTGGACTTCTTTTCATTACTATTCTGGTTTAATGGTCTCAAAGGTCAACAGATCCAGGAAAAGATTATCTTTTCATTTTTATTTTTTTGTAGATGGCCATGCTCTAGGTACTCTGTAAAAAACATGGGCAGCTGTTATTTTAAACCAGTATATATTCAGTGGACACTTGACAGACCAAATAAGACTTCTCTATGAATAAAAGAATTCCTGATTTTAAAAGATATATATTGTCCTTACATACAGCTGTTGTAATTTTTAACTTTATAACTAACATTGACCAAATGTGATTTTTGGGATTTATCATCACGTTTGGAAATCAACAACCAACCAAAAGACATGGAAATTGCAATTAAGGAGCAGCACTTCCTGAGACAAAACAATTACAGTCCAGTAGGGCATCTTAAAAACATATTTACTTAGCTCTTATATAACAGTCCTGGGAAATTTCACTGTGTATCGCAGCACACATCCTTTGAGGGCTTAAAATATTTTGTACCAGTGGATACAACAAACAAGCCTAATGCACCAAAGGTAACATGAGAATGGAGACAGCTTCCTTGATGATAACTACCTTTTGAAATAGGATGCTATGTGAACAAAAACGGCTGACTCTGAGAGAAGGTAAGTGGAGCCAATTCTACTGTGGTACCTTCCGGAATGGGCAGATATGCAGTTCAAAGACCACTGTCAATTTCTGTTAGACAAACCTTATGTGCAAACTCACAACTCTTTGGATGATAATACTTCAAATGTATGGGTCCCAGGTGATTTATTAACAATGCACTTGCCAGCAGCATAATTAGACAAACAAAGATGATTGGCTTTATGTAGCTTTGGTCGAATAATAGCCAATAATCAATTCCTGCATGCTATTTCATTGTGTTTGGAGAAGAAAAGAGCATTTTAGGCTTAGATAATAGAAGGGAGAATGACGGAGGAAAGGGGATGGAACATGCTTCCGTCAATGTAACTTATCTTAAGGCCCAAGTGCTAAAACTAGTATCACATTAGCAAGTTCCATGGCTATTTTAGAGATCAAGACAGTTAACCTTTCTTTTTGCTAATTTTAGATCTCATATTGGTATTACAGCTATATTAATCTTTTTTCTGAGGATACATCTGACTATAGCATCCAAATTGCCCTGATACATTAGCCACTGGTGGGCAGGCTGTGGAAGAAATTGATATTCCTGGTTGTAATCGTATAAAAAAACCTTAGCTGGGAATAAGCCCCCTTGACCTTATTAATAGAGAAGTTTAGGATTGTGTTATGAAGTAACATGTCTACTTCTGCTTGTAAACAATTATTCTATCACAGATGCTCAAATTAATTGCAACAAAAATATGCAAAAGTGGCCAAAATCCTACTGAGTTTTTATGCCAGTATAATGAAATTAGTGTAAATCTTGCTGGTGAATTGTCACAAGTTTAGTTAGTTTATGAAGTTGCTGCTCTGTGCTGGATATGCCCATGCTAACTTTTTGATTTGATTTCTTAGTGTAACTAAGAATTTGACGAATTCACCGGGCAACAGTTCTCCTCCCCAACCCAGCAGCCATCACACAAAGTTCTGTCTTTAGCTAGCTTCGAAATAATTCTAGGAAAATAATAAATCCAAGGCAGTATATGTAGATTCCTAGGACTATACAAATTAATAACTGTGACTAACAACTAGATATAGCTCATGCTACGTAAGTAATGAAAAAAGGAACAGTGACTGGTCAGTCTCTTAAGGTTCCAAAAAGGTCTGTCTGTCAATAAAGAACAAATCTCTGAGCCCTGCATTAGGATCCACATCACCCCATCAATAATGTTTATAATGACAAGAGTTTTTTACACTCACTTCTATGAAGCAGCAAATCTGCCTGGCAAACAGCAATCTACTTTTAAAACTGCAGACCATTACAAAGAGTTTGTGACATGATCTGGGACTTTAACTCCACGGGACAGCGAAGTACTATGCAGGGAATTAAGCAACCATTAGTTTCCAAAACTGGCTTCATAATCGTGCCTAACAATGCTACATGGTCCCAAGTGCTTGGATGACACTTGTTTAGGGATCCACCTATCCAAAAGAAAAATACTCTGTGAAGGAGGCTATTAAAAACAGTACAGCTGACACCACACACAGTAAAGCAAAAGATTTAAATAGGAAAGTGGCAATCATCTGTATAGAAAAGATCTTACAATATACAACTTTACAATGTACAAGGCTTTTCTATTCTTAAACTTACAAATACTTCACAGTCTGTTTTAACACCTGCAGGGTTGATTCTTTTTAAAAAGTTCTTTAACAAATTAGGAGATTCATTCATCCCGACAGGCAACTATAACAAAGTTCCTTTTGCTCTCCAGTCCTGTGAGAGCAAGTCCTGCAATTCCTCTTCATCCTCGCTACCTATATCGTCCTCTTCTTTGGCGTGGGCTGCTCGGAGTCTCATCACTTCTTTCAGTTTCTCTTTCATGATGTCCTGTTGGTCCCGCAGGTGTTCAACACGACGGAAACATTCACTAGGGTGAAATAAAAATCATTACTTCTCCAATTGCACAAACAGCTAAAAATGTGTTTCTTGATATTCACTGAATATTTCAAAAGACCCACTTCATGTATTAGTTCACACCTTTGGAAAAACAAATGGGTCAATTCAGTGTTTGCCATTTTGTTTTAAAAACTGAGTATCCATAATTTAATTAAGTTGCTCTTAAAATATAAATGCCTCCTTTCATATTTTTTTAGATGCCATTTTTTTGGAAGGAAGTTTAATGCAAACCAGGCAAACAGTAGCAGCACTTGGGCTAATTATCTCCCCGTTGTGTTGTGCTGTTCACACAATCTACTTTCAAGGAACCCTTTCCCTATTTTCACCAAGGAACTCCCATGCTTATCACAGAAATCTTAGGCACTGCACAGACTACCGAGGGCACTAATTCAGTTCATCTGAGGTACTGGGCAGGCCTCGTGGGCATAACTGACATCAAATATCAACTGCAAAGAAGCTCAGAACACATCCAGCACTCTGCTCCTCTGGCAGTAGATGGTTGCTGCCACTCCAAGAAAGTGTGTTCACAATTTCTGCAGAACATTTCAAAACCTATTGATAGGCAAAATGTGATATAAAAAGGTGGTGGGAAAAACATTCACATCTCATTTTTCTGCTTTAATTTTAGAAACCATACTAGACAGAAATAAACTATTTTCAAATTACTCAGAATAACCCTTGCCTTATTTCAGCCCTGCACACTTATTCGAATAAAGATCTGTTCTGAACGGCAATTCTAGGTCAACAACAGAAGCAATAGCAATGTAATAATTGCTTGTATGTTTTTTTAAAAAAAGCTATTCACAAAGCATGAAGCCACTGGAGGAACGGAAGACGACACTGCTATTTTCTGTTATCTCCTGTTTAATGGCAGTTTAATTGCAGAAACTGATATACAAAATGACATCTAACTTTAAAAAGCATTAGATTTCACAAACAGAGTATTGTTATATTGTAGAATTGTATCAAATCAAATGTCACTTTTGTGTCCATATTGGTAGATCGATAACTTCGAGCACTGATTCTTTAAAACTTTATTGTATAGTAGTATCAGACTGACTGCCAAAACGAAAGTTAGATAGTTTGATTCAGCAGATGAATTAAAGGTTGCTCAGAATGCAAATGACTCAGTGAACTGTTTTCTTCCAGAATAATAAATGATGAAGGAAATTCATACCTCAACAGTTTTTCAGGTACCAACTTCAAGCATACTTATACGGTCTGTGGCCAATTCAAGTTTGGGAAGAAAGTGGAATGCCAGGGACAAACTTCTATATTGCTAATTCAGCTATTTTAAAAGGATGGCAACCTGAATTTACATTCCAGGCAAGCAATGTGGTGGAAAGAACAAACAGTAAGTTTAAAGAGGTATTGAGAAACTCTCTCTTTAAAAAATGCCATGTTCTTCCCTCCATTTTGGCATTACAGGTGTCTCCAGTTTTAAAAAAACACACAAACTGGAGAGTGGAATACACATGCATACAATTAACGGTTCATTAATACCAGGAGATCCTTGGTCCCTCTACACATTGTAACCTTTTGGAACCTTGAGGAGGGGGGAAACTCCGAAAGTGAAAACCACTGCTGGATAGCCGCTGCTCTCTCTCAAGGCTGACCAAAGGCAAAAGGAGACCTGGGGAGCCTTGAAAGTTGAAACAGGGATAGGAAGTTTTAAATCAATTCACAGTTACACATGCATACAATTAACGGTTCATTAATACCAGGAGATCCTTGGTCCCTCTACACATTGTAACCTTTTGGAACCTTGAGGAGGGGGGAAACTCCGAAAGTGAAAACCACTGCTGGATAGCCGCTGCTCTCTCTCTCAAGGCTGACGAAAGGCAAAGGGAGACCTGGGGAGCCTTGAAAGTTGAAACAGGGATAGGAAGTTTTAAATCAATTCACAGTGATTAATCCCAGCACCCCAATTTAATTACGCCAGTACAAATTTACAAAATAAGATTTGACGCACTAGCTCAAAAAATGATAGCCTCTCTCTACCTCATGTTAAATTCTTTTCTGTGTGTGACCCTCAAGCCTGAGCTTAAAATGCCATTCTGGAAATTTACTGAGGAGGAGGGTATAAAACACTCCAAAATGTAAGAAGAAATAAATTTAAAAAGAAATAAAAATAATAAAATTTTCCCCTGTATTATTGAATGACTTTTCTTTGAAACAGTCTTTCCTATATTTAGGAACACATGTAGATGAACACCCCCACCAGCCACATCAAAGACATGACTAAAACTTTTGATCAGATCAAACTGCTGTCAAATTAAGTTAAAACAAATAATTGTGAGAAGTGCTATTCTTAAATAACATTTTGAACACAAGTTTTACACTACTTACATCTGCTCATCAATTTCTCCAATTTGACGGTCAAGTCGCCCCTCTTCATCTTCTTCAGCTACTATAGCTTCTGAAATCTAACTCGGGGGGGAGTAATTTAGAAATGTAAGAAACAGCACTGTTAGCATCAATTTTGGGGACTGTTTGCCAGCTACAGGACTGTATGCTCCATTCTGGGGGGACATCTCTCCCCTCCTGAATGCTTACTGCAGTGCAGGGATAGGGCAGTACCAATATTTAAACTGCAGTTAAAGCTAAGCTCAGAGTTATGGCAGATTTTACCCTTGGCTAAGGAGGGGCCTGGCTAGTCTTAAAAATGCTTGAAACATGGAGCAATGTGGGAAGATTTACATCTGAGGAGAGACTGCATGCTTCTGCTGCCTGTTCTTCTCTTAAAGGTAGTTTCTAAAAAGCCAGCTTGCATCTGCATTGACCCAGCATACTGTATTTTGAAACCAAGCATCAACAGCTACAACATGCAAAATATGTGGTGCTCCAGATATTGGACTGAAGTCTTACCAGCCCTAGGCTGGTAAGATAAAGTGTTGTACTCCAACACCATCCATCCAGAGAGCTGCACATTCTCCAGCCCTGATACACAAGATCTTAAGAGGCTTTAACAGCACACTGTAATAATCAACCTCAGATTTCAGAATTCTATTTGCAAGTATTTCCATCACCTCTCATTTTGAAAACATATCTCAAGCTTGTTTTTCCCCTCAGCATATATTTTCTCAAGATTTAGTAACTTGTAGATGCCTAGCAGCCAATGGTTAACATGCAATAAAAAACAGGCTTTATGAGTCACTGAAATCCACAAAATGCATCTACAATTAATCTTGTATGAACATCTTCCCTGTTTATAGCACTGGGTGCATTCTGGAAGAGGATGACTGTTCTGCACCACTTTGCTTTCAAAAATTCCATTCATGGGAAATTTTCTGCAAGGTCAGAGTTCAGTCAACAAGTGAAGTCCAAGATCACACTTTCGTGGATATGCTAATTTTTTTAAAACCACCTAGTGGTAGCACAGGTTAATTTTTTAAAAGCCAAAAATGTTAAGTCAAATCAAAGCCAGAAAACTACAACAGAGATAGACACTACAGGTTAACTACAGTGGTTAAAATGCTGATAGGTACATCATTATATAAAAATGTGCCCAGAACTTAATGAGAAATTGACAAAATATATAGACAAGCATGCAATATATACAAACATTCATAACCAAATGTGTATGCTGCATATATACTCATAGAATTAAAACATTCCAATGGCAGAGTAAGGAAATGCCTTCCATTTTTATGTAGCATCATGTTTTCAAGACCTCAGTTCCATTATATGAAGAGGGGAAAGACACTCAGAGTGCAGCTACTTTATAAAAAAGAATTTAATTGATGAAGCAAGTACAACAATCAACAAATATAATGTCATTTAGCTCTAGTTCTGCATTTGGAACGCTTGCTAGCAATACAAAACAAGAAACACCTACAGTGGGGTCTTGACTTGAGAACTTAATCCGTATTGGAAGGCGGTTCTCAAGTCAAAAAGTCTGTAAGTCAAGCCGTCTGTAAGTCAAGGGTCCACTGTACTCACTGTATTGACTTGTCGCATGGCTTTCTGGAATTCATCCCATTCCTTGTCCATCTGATCCTTTGGAGCATCAACCTTTCGCACCTAAAGAAACAAAACATTTTGGAACTACCGTATTATTCTGTGTATAAGATGCCCTCATGTATAAGAGGCGCCCCCTTCTAACCCAAAATTTCTTTCATTGCAAAAAAGTGGAGGAGGAAGACAGGGTTTGCAACAAAAGTGGAGGAGGAAAGCAGAAATCGCTTTCCCCCAACATTTTAATTGCAAAAAGTGGAGGGGGAAAGCAGCTTTTTGCAAAGAAAGTGGAGGAGGAAAGCAGGAATCAAAGCACTTTGATCCCTTCCCCCTCCTTACTTCCGTGTATAAAACTACCCTCAATTTTTCCTCAAATTATTTTAGGAAAAAGTGTCCTTTTATACACGGAAAAATACAGTAAGAACTGATCTAAACTACTAACAGTTGCATCTGATTTTAAAAACAAAACCCCTATTCTGTATTATATATTGCTTATACCTGAACAATGGTAATGCAAGCTAAGGACATAACGTATGAGGGTGCAGAAAAGAGGAAAAAGATGAGACATTAAGATAAAGTGGCATTTCTAATAATCTAGGACTCAGAACAACCCATTCTGAATATCAAGGAATATGGATCTTATAAACGGATCTGCATTTTGACAAAGATAATTATATACAGCATTGATGGTTTCAGCAGTACCTACCTTTACCTTAGCTCTGTGTCTCTTTATTACAAATCCTGTGGTGTTCCTATTCATGTTATTTAAAGTACATGTAACTCACACATATGAAAGATTTGACTCAGATGCAGAAATCTGGCTAAAACGCTGAAATACAGTGTGAACATATTTTGCTTTCGTGTGGGAGAAACAGCCTGAGTGACTGAAGGGGAACGCTCAAAGCATTCCTTCGGGTAAAGTGCAACACCCACCACATTAGAAGAAATTGCAGATGGCAAAATAAAGTATCTACAGAGGAAGGCACTATAACTGTATATAGATTGTGCTAGATGGAGAAAGGGAACATGTACTTGAATGTGCCAGAAATGTAGAACTTAAAAAAATATATATACTATAGCAAGGGTCGCCAATCCCCGGTCCACGGCCTAGGCGGCACCGGTCCGCGAACACAGATCTCCTGCCCCCCACGCATCCGCGCAAGCATACCACACCCCCACATGAAGGTGCCACACCCCACACCACATCCATGCCACCGCACGAGCGAGGCCCCCCACGTGCATAGACCCCCCCAACCGGTCCGTGGTTGGGAAAAGATTGGGGACCACTACTACAGGAAATATATTTCTAAATACTATAGTAGCAAAATATGGGTAAGCATTAGATTGTATCAAAATGCCTCACAGTTTCCTTGACAGTTCCCTCCATATAAGAGAGGGCTCACTATTATCTCCATATGGGGAGGCAATGAGCTGGGATGAGGGACTGAGATTAAGGACAGCACTTTGCCCAGGACCACTCAAAGAGTTCATATCTCAAGGCAGATTTTAATCAGGGCTTTAATCTTGTCTTTCTCCCAAAAAATGGGATATCAAGCCAGTTTATACCATTAAAATGAAAAGCAAGCAACAACTTCCCAAGCCCTTCTCTCCTCTGTATCCAGAGGCAAATGCAACAATTGATAGGTCAGGGAGCATCTGTAAGGAAATTCCATATACTAGTAAGGACACTGGAGGACTTCCAGAAAAGTAAGAATACTAAAACAGATGAACCCAGTAAAAACAAAGGGAACAGACAAGAGACATTCTCTTATGCAACCCCCACCTTAAATGGGACAACTGAACATTAGGAGTTTCCAGAGAGGTGCACAATACAAAGATACTGTGCAGCTCATGTTCTCTTCTGTACGTAGAACGAACAGTAGAATTTCTCACTGGAAACACAAACCTTGATTGACATTTCTGCCAACAATTATGCCGCAGCCATTCTACGTATTGTGCAGAACGTGGAAGCAGACTGATCAGTGTGGAAGTGGTGCATTTAGAAACTCTTCCAAATAAAACATTTCACGCCAGCTAGCACATCAGGCAACTGGCTATGCTAAGCCTCCTTCCCCATATGCTAGGTCTGTTTGTTTTTTCTATTCAAAAGTACACCACACACCTGCAGCCTGAAATGCTACAGTCTAGAATTTAACCACTTCATTCTCCTTCACATATAGATCAGCTCTAAGCAACCATATAAGTTCTCAGAACTTAGGATTTTACTGTCAAAGACATACTAGGAACGGAACAAGTCCAATGTAGTCTCTGTTTGAATGACATACTGTACAATTATGGTTGTGCATAATTTTTTCGAAAGCTATGCTATAAAAGCTGCCTCCATATATTTTCTTTGTTTTCTTCCCTCGTTCTGTCACAAGGAAAGACAAACAAAGCTACTAAATGTCTCTGTGTAGCTTCAGAGAATGCATTCAAAATTATTCAGACACTTTCATACATAAGGGCAAGGTTTTTTTTGTTAAGGCGAAGTATTCTCAGGGTGCTAAATCTGGCACCTAGAGCAGCATTTTTATGTTTCAGCTTTGCTCGCACACAACAGAGGCTAACCTATTTGCAACTAGTAGGCATCCAGGACATTGAGGCAAAAAGAGCTACCTTGATTTATGTGGTCACAATCAAAAGATGTTTCCCAACAGGTGATTTAGATTACGGATGGACAACCTTTTGCCCCCTAGACATGGTTGAACTATGCCAACCCATCATCCAGCTGGTTTAATTCTGTGAATGAATTAAACATGTACTCAAAAGGAACCACACTTGCCTTTGCATCCACTTCAGGATCATCAAAAAAACCCTCTGGCAAGGCCTCTGCAGTATTTTCTTTTCTGAAATGTTAAAACGACAGCTAAGTTTACATTCAAATTAATATGAGAAAAAAATGACAATGAAAAATACTGAGAAGGAAACTGAGTAGTATAATGCTCTCCAGAACTGAAGGAGAAAAAGCACAAAGCCATTTTAATATGGTGGGCAATATGTGTTTGCACTGATTCTACAGCTAAGTTTCACTACCCAAGACCTGAGAACCAAAAAAAAAAGAAAGAAAAAAAGAAAAAATATATAAAACAGCATTATCAATAGTAATGGCTATCCAAAATAACTGCTTCATTTTTAAAAAAAAATGGTCACACTTTTAAATCAGATACTCCCAGAAAATAAAATAAAAATTTAAATAAAAAACTGTAGTTGAAGCTATACCTCTGAAACTGAGATCACAGATCAATTGTTTCCTCACTTAAAGCACAGGCATTGTGATGTATTCTTTTTAGACCTTAACTTCCACCCTAAATAAAAACAAAAGATAAAAATAAAAACTTTTTGTTTCCAGAAAGGAAAAAAACCTCAGGCTATCTAAAACTAAGCCAATTAAAAACAACTAGACTTCCCCCCCCCCAAAAAAATACAGATCAGATGCACAGGACTGGGAAAAAGCATGTGACAATGGAGGCCACTAGTCTGCAGATCTGCAAACAGTAGATTGCAGATGCTAACACTTTCAGACTATTTCCATTTGAGCTTTTCCACAATACCAGTAATACACAATACAGTGGCTGGTGAGATTATAATGTACTGTTTTATTTGGGGTGGAAGTTAAAGTAGAAGGAGAGTATATCAATGTGCCAATGTTTTGAACATGGACTATTTCTGGTCTGAATGTATTTGCTTTTTGCAGTATGATTTCAACCATAACTTTTTGTTTTACAAAAATGAAGTTTTCTTTTCCAAAAATTTCTTTGTTTTTGAAACATGGACATCAATGATTGGAAAAGAAAATTTGTTTTTACTGAATAACTTTTAAAAAAATCTAAACACTACCTTATAAACAAAGCGAACACTCAACTTTTGACTCAAGTTCAAAGTGGGCCAGCTTTCCCATCATGCAATACCATTTAATCTTACCAGACAGTGGCTTACATTAAAATATATCAACTATTGTTCACAACATGGAAAACCGATAAAATTTAGCTTTCTTTTACTCACTAAAAGAAGAAAGATTAAAATACTACTATCAAGGATCAATGTTAGAAGAAAAATACAAGACAATATTTATACTAGATAATTCACCTTTCCATAACTTTTTCTTGTGCTTCTGCTTTCTGTATAGAGCCAGAGTGGGAAACCAAAGGTGCAGCTAAAGCTTTGTCTTCTGAATAACCTGCAAAATGTAGAAATAAGCTTAAAAATAACAAAATACTGCCTGAGTAGTATGCACAATATTTGAAAGGTGAAGCACACTAGAACAGACAGAGAGAAAATTATATCAGCTAGTGGCACTGGTCAGCAGAAGGCTCAAGACCAGAAAAAAAAAAGAAATATTTCACGCAAAGCAGATGTTTATCATTAAGTTATCCTCCTTGTTCTTAGCCTTAGATGAGAAATGGGCAATGCTCAAGGTTCTGGACACTATTTTTGCCCTCTCTAGACTTTGCAGGCTGCACACACCCTCCAACAGCCTCCCCTGACCGCCCCCTCCAGAAACCACTTGCACAAAATTAGGGGTAGGGAATGTAAGTCATGCTCTCTGACATAGGAAGGATGTAGTTTGTCATGTACAGCATGGGGCTGTTCTACATCTCTTGTTACTTCTGATTTTTTTTCAAAGGCCTTTTAACACCTAAGCACTGAGGGGATTGGGACTATAGAGCAAAGCGGCCCTCCCCATAAGTCCTGGTTTGCAGTTTTAGAGAAAACATCTGTTAGTGGAAATTATATGGGGCATGGGGCCAAACAGTCCCCACCAGGCCTCCTTGTGGACTATAGTTTACCACCCCTGCTTTGAGGCCAAGTTCCATCAGGGTCAATGGTCTTCTCAAGAAACAAACATAGGACCAGACTGTATTTTAACAATAAACACTAACTTACCGTATTTTTCGCTCCATAAGACGCACCTTTCCATAAGACGCACCAATTTTTTAGGAGAAGAAAACAGGAAAATATAATGTTTTCTTCGCTCCATAAGACACACCAATTTTTTAGAAGAAAACAGGAAAATATAATCTGTCTTCTTCGCTCCATAAGACGCACAGACTTTCCACCCCCGTTTTGTGGGGGGAAAGTGCGTCTTATGGTGCGAAAAATACGGTAAGTCACTTTTGGATGACAGGATAAATTCATGAGAAGTTATCTATTAAAATCTGTTAATCACATCTACTAATGGAAACCTTTACATCCTTCTGTGCAGGTAATATATTTTTGTACACTGACCATCAGTGCCAAACAAGCCTATAATCCTTTATGCCTTGCTTAGCCTATCCACTGCTGAACTTATGAGGATTCTAATTGAGCAAGGCAGTAGTTATATTTTTAATACATAAACTGGAAGCATAGAATGAGGATTACTTGTTCTTATATCTGAAACTCTAGATATCTCAGAGGAAAAATCAGCAAGCAGCACAACTGCTATCAACAGCAAATGACTTGATTTTATTTGGGGTGTATAATTAATCTAAAACATGTATGACACAGGTGAACTGACAAGACAAATGACACATAGTAATTAAGTAATGCAAAGTATCTATAGAAATCACTGGAACGGGTGGTAAAGAATGCAAAAGTTAACCATCAGATTTGTATCAAGCCTATTGAACACAAGGTGTCGTGTGCCCCCCCCCCAAGATTTGGGAATTGCCAAATTACCTGATGGTAAAGCAGAAGCAGTTTCTGTTTTCTGAGTAGAGGATGGAGTTTCTGTTCTTGGAAATGTGGATTGCACAGATGTTTTGCTACTGTTATCTTTGATTCCTTCAGTTGTCTCTTCAATCATTTCCTTCTCCTCCTCTTCCTCCTCATAGTCTCCTAGTAATAAGCCACATCTTGGAGCTTCCAAAGATTGCCTTTCTGCTTTCGCTAATTCAGTTCTGCTAAAAAAATCTGGTGGCAGGCTAAGACAAAGGAAACAAACAATACTTTCAGATTTGACCATAATCCAAGCTAGAATTCAAGCAACTGTTTCAGGTCTACCAAGGCAATATTTGATTATTTTGCTTTTAACACCAGACACTCCCAGTAGCAAATCTATGCATCTGAGATTGTTCTATAGCCAGAAGCCCAGAAACCCTTCCACACTGCTTTGAACCCAGATGACAATGTCTAAAAATCTAACTGCTCTGAGTCCAGTTTCTGAATTTTCATCACAACCTACTTAAGAGCAAGCAAACTGGAGGAATTATACAGAATGGAACTGTAAATCACTGAATCACCAAGTGAAATATAAACACACACCCAACCACAAAATATTAGCTATGGAAAGAGCTACGATAACAAAAGACGCTTTAAACCTCTTCCCTATGGCAACTGCCTCCATTTGGTGAGCTACTTGTAATCAGGAGCTTCTGCTGAGATGCAAGGATGTCCCCTGAATGTTTGCAGTAGAAAAGAACCAACAATGCAAGCCACTACATATGAACAGCTTACCACACAGAGGCACTCAGACCAAACTCTGTATGGAAGTTATTTCCTTTGCACATTGGTTCTGTGTAAGAGATGGCAAATTGAACATCTTGCTGATTGCTCTATTAAAACATGAGAACATTCAAGAAAAGGAAACTAACAACTTTCCCGACTTACCCAGACGGGACGGTTTGCGGATTATCACTTGCATCTGGAAAAAAGAAAAATTATTAGAGCTGTGTGCAAAGAACAAAAAAATCACCAAGATGAGGTCCACAGCTAAGATATGTTTAGCTGCAATAGTTCATTAAACATCATGGTTTATCACAGATGTGGTATGCTCCATAAAGTAAACAAAAACACAGATGGTAGAATTTCACATTGTGCAAACTACTATATGTACAGCTACAATCTGATCACCAGATAGTGTATTTATTTATCATTTTGACTTCTATACTGCCCCATCAGTGTGAGCACGCTCTTCACAGATTTGTACTGCCATAAAAACCTCCAGAAGAATCTAAATACCTAAGAGACAGCACAGAGGCCTGCATCTCCTGTTCTTGCCTCTATCTAATTCAGAGACTGAAGAAATTTTAAAAATGCCATATATGGCAAGACAAGGCATCCTATTCTTATTAGCAAAGCATGTGCATGAGGAGGGATTCAGTAGACAAATGGACTGGCTCAATGAGCACAAGTTAGACTAAGAGTAATGAGTCTTAAAAGATACCTGTACTACTGTTTTTCACTGACAGTGATGGCATTCACATTGCTCAGGTGCAATCTCCCGAATATTTCAGCCAATATGTCTTCAAGATATTAGTTTTGATCCAAATTCAGTTAGCGTGTGAAAAGCCAGGTAATAAGCACCTGAAGTCCAGCTGATTTCAATGGCTCTCAAGTGAAGTGAAGATCCCACTGATCTAGTGCTACTCCCAAGTTATGGTGTTAAATCCACAGGAAAGAAATAGTAGCATGTTCTTTATATAATTTTACCATCTATTTTAGAAGGCTATTACAATCAACAGTGGAAGTGCTTGTTTTATAGAAATAAACAGAGGTTTGATCATTTTGTTAGGTAAGCAGTGGCAAAACTTGTCAAGTAAGCATACCAAGGAAGTAACTGATAACACCCAAGGATATACCAACACTGCCGACAATTGAGATTAATTTTATTAACAAATTCTAGTCACACCGATACGCACAAGCTGAAGTTTTACTGGGACACACAGTTTCATTGCTTCCTACAAACCTGCTTATTTCATGTAGAATTTCAATTAACTGAAATTAAACACCCACCCCACATGGACACTTTTTTTCACTCTTATCTTTATATATGACACTATACCATCTGCAGCTGCTGTATTTTGGCCACAAACATGACTGCTGCCATGTAATATCATCAGACTGAGAAATGTTCTAGCAGTACTCTGAGGGGTTTCTGTAGGTGCTTTGGTAGAGTGCTCTGTGACTATCGTATTTCCCCAAAAATAAGACAGGGTCTTATATTAATTTTTGCTCCAAAAACACATTAGGGCTTATATTCAGGGGATGTTTTATTTTTTTCATGTACAACAATCTACATTTATTCAAAGACAGTCATGTCATCTTCTGGTTGTTGCACAATGGTGGAGGGCTGAGTTTCACTTAACTGGGGCTTATTTTTGGGGTAGGGCTTATATTACGAGCATCCTGAAAAATCATATTAGGGCTTATTTTCGGGTTAGGTCTTATTTTGGAGGATGTGCATTAACTTTTTCTGCACCAGAAATACTTATTAGCCTTTTTTTGGCCTTAACAGGCTACAAGTGAGAAAGATAGAGATATAACACCACATTATATTGGCAGCATAAGGCAGAGGGTTTAACAAGATGCGGTAGCTTCAAAGGTCACCAATCACCATACTGAATAAATACCAAGTAGCTATTGTGGATATTTTACTGGCAGTTCCATAAATTATAGTACATAGGGATACACCCAATTGACTAGACTCAAACATGGCTAACTCCAACATTTATACTACAATCTTCCCTCGCACTTACCAAACACCCAGTTCAAGTTGATTGTACAGCTGTCAAACCTGGATGCCCTTTATTTATGACACTATACCATCTACAGCTGGCGCAGTGGTTAAACTGCTGTACTGCAGCCAAAACTGTGCTCACAACCCAAGGTTCAATCCCAGGTAGCCGGCTCAAAGTTGACTCAGCCTTCTATGCTTCTGAGGTCGGTAAAATGAGTACCCAGCTGGGGGGGGGGCAATGTGTAGCCTGGCAATTAGCTTGTAAACCACCCAGAGAGTGCTTGAAACACTACGGGGCAGTATATAAGCAGCACACTTTGCTTGGCTTTATCTTATGGACCCTCAAATGCCAGCTGTATTTAAGCTACAACATACCATTCACAGAAAGATTCAAAATGCAAATACTACAATTCTCTCTCTCACACACACACATACACACAAATAGTAAACCAAAGAGCCACAGAAAATCCACACACCAAACTCAAAGTAGCTTTTGATACCTTTTGCATTCTTCTCCTCTGGAGAATATTTATTTTCAATTTTCCTCTTGAGAGAAGATGAAGTGTTAGGAATGGGGCCTTGTGGTGACTGTTTATGACCTTTTAACTGTTCAAGTTTCTATGGAGGATTAAAGCCACCAGATTAATGTATTACTACATAAAATAAATTAAGAATATTTTATCTCTTTTTTTACAAATAAATACCACCAACAAGATTGTAAAAAGGCATAATTCAAAGAAGCATGGTGCACTGATGTAAACAAAGGAGCTATTGCAATTTTCATTTAAACTAGGCTGTTTAAATTTTGAAGTACATTGATATTTTACATTCTCCTGTATAAAGTGAAATATTTTTAATTGCAGAATTTGATACAAAAATGACATCAAACTTTAAAAAGCATTTGATTTCACATACACATACTATAAAATTGTATCAAATCAAATGTCAGTTTTTGTGTCCACACTAGTAGGTCCATAGTTTTGAATGCTGTCCAATTAAAAAACAACAACTAAAGCAAACATTATAGAAGCAGTCAATCTGACCCTGCCCCAAAAAACAGGAAAGATTCAAATATACTCATGTTTAGAGTAGACACAGTACAACCAATAGGACTTAAGTGAGTCATGATTAATTTGAACCCCCAAAATGTCAATTGGTCTATGTGAAGCATAATTAAAAGGGCTAAATCCCTACACATATGAATCACAATTGCCATTCCTTACATTATAAATAAGACTCACAAGAAACCAAAAATTATTGCAAAATATCAGATATTTCTCTTACCTCCTTGTGCTGCTTCCCAAGAACATGTGTTTGCCACAACAATTCACTCTTTAAAGAGGCATTGCACAAAGAGCAGCTTAAATTCCCCAAACTGTTATATGTAGAATTTGCAGTCAAGGGAGTTAGTGTAAAAATTCACCTCTCAAAACTGCTATTTTGGACACTCTTTAAGCATCAAACTAGACACTGTGCTGTTGTGTAAGTAATAAAAATAATGTGGCCAAAGTAGATATTGCTAGACCATTTAATTGTTTTTGTAGCCAAAAATACATTTTGAAATGTTAGGCTTTAACTAAGCTTTTGAAGATGTAAGAGCTGGATTAAAGAAATTTGGCCTTGTAACAACTATTGTTATATGCACTTCCTTTTAAAAAAAACAATCATGGTTAAACATGGTAAATAAATATCCTGCAACTGGAAACATTTATACTTTCCCATAAAAAAAGGCTAGGGGCTCAATTAAGATTTATTCATACATGTCTCTCCTCCAAAAGAACCCCACAACATCTGCTCGAATCCTGTACCACAAGAACACCCTCAGGCTTTCAAGCAGATTTGACAGGTTAAGGGATGAGATCACAATTAAATCACAAGAGAGAGCCCCCCCCCCACTGGCAGATCTCCGCTTCGCTTCCCCAGGTGGACTCGCCTCTGGAGACTCCTTCCCAACTTGTTAATTAATTAATTAATTGATTTGATTTGATTTGTACCCCGCCCATCTGGTCTATAAGACCATTCTTGGCAGCTTCCAATATAACATAAAACAATAAAATAACACAAAATATTACACAGATAACACAGTAACAGATATAATGCAAAGACAAAAGAAATAAATAAAGGAAAAATCAAAATCAAATATCAGCTGGAGGGAAGGCCTGAATATGCCGAAAAGGTAAGGGCCCTTTTCTTAATAAACAAGCGAGAAAAGATAGGCCAGTTGCTCATAACACCCTACAAAACACGACGCACAGAGGTGGACCAAGAACGTTTACCGAAGAAATGGGCAGCCACGCTCCACCCGCCGGGGATCCTCCAAC